AATGGGCAGTTCTTCTGCATCAGCTTGAGAGACAGAGGTGCTGACTAGATTGTTCAGATTCTTTCATTTCACAAGTGGGATTGACTGACTCCAAGTAGGAGGGACCTTGTCTAAATCATGACACTCCAACAATATCAACTGATATTGTGTGTTCCTGTCATAAAACGTGGATTCAAGTGTTGCAGAGCTGTGACAGTTTCGTTCAATGGTACCAGCCCTCAGCTGTCTCTGGATTTGAATGTTCCACCACTGTGCTGGCTGTCCATCTTTCACTCTCCAAGTACGTCCGCTCATCCAAAACCCTGCTGCTTGCATGGTTATCTCACTCGCCCAGCTCTTGACCTATATTGGTTCCTTATCCACTTAATGCATCATTATTATAATGTTTAATCCTGGTGTTTAAATACTTCTGTGATCTTGTCCGTTGAGCGGTATGGTGGCACAGTGGTTAGCACCATTGCCTTTCAGAGCCAGGGACCCAGTTCGATTCCAGCTTTGGGTGACCGTGTGTAGTTTGCACATTCTCCCTGCATCTGTGTGGGTTTCCTCCGGTGCTGTGGTTTCCTCCCACCGTCCAAAATGTGCAGATGAGGTGGATTGGCCGTGCTGAATTGATATATCGTGTCTAGGGATGTGCAGGCTTGGCAGATTAGCTGTGGTAAAAACACCATGTGTGGTTCGGGTGGGTCTGAGTGGGAAACTCTTCACAGGATCAGAGCAGACACGATGGGCTGACTGGCCTATTTCTGCATTATGATTCAATAATAATGAGCAGTAAGGAAAAATACTTGAGCCAATACGTTTTAATATTTACAACCATAAGTTGCTCCAAAAACGACTCGCAAAGAGCTATTTCTTTGCCCTATTTGTTTCACAGCTCAAAATTGTTTCCTCCAGATACAATCCAAATTTCAAAGGACAGAATCTCTAAGTACGTTGCCAAGTGTTTTTCATAATTCAAGTGGATGAGAATGGCCTTGTGGTATTGTCATTGGTTTGATAATCCAGAAACACTGGAAGTGTTCTGGAGACATGGGTTCAAGTCCTGCCATGGCAGATGGTGGAATTTGAATTCAACCGATATCTGGAATTAAGAATCTGATGATGACTGTGAATCCATTGCCAATTGTTGGAAAAACCCATGTGCTTCACTAATATCCTTAAGGGAAGGAAACTGCCATCCTTACCTGGTCTGGCCTACATGTGACTCCAGACCCACAACAATGAGGTTGACTCATAACTGCCCTCTGGGTGTAATTAGGGATGGGCAATAAAAGCTGGCATAGCCAGCGATGCCCTCATCCCATGAATAAGGAAAAAAAATTTACTGAAATCTGATGAAAACGTTTTTGTTGGAAGTTTGATAAGTATGTTAGACTGAAGAAAATTACCAGTGGTGAACATGTTACTGTTTAGATTGACGGCCTGAACGACACTGTAGCAAAGAAACCTGAAAAATAAGTACTTAGTGAATAATCAAGATCCTCTCTAAATTATGCATGCTATTTCTAATTGTTCAAACAATAGAATTGGCATTGCAGAATTGTAACACAAATTGAACCAATTAAAATGAGTTCAGCCCTTTGATCCTGTGCAGCCATGTAAATGAAAGTTGACACTGTTGTAAGAAGCATCGTTGAGCCATATTTGAAGCTGGAGGAAAATGGAAGCACATAAGGTGTAGGAGCAGAAGTAGGCTGTTGAGTCTGCACTGACATTCAATAAGATCATGACTGATCTGATCCTTGACTCCAATTTGCAGCAATTTCCTAGAAGTCTGACTATCTGAGCCTGGAATTTACTTCAACACCCAGTCTTGAACCCTCTGTGATGAAGAATTCCACAGGTTCACTACCATCTGAGAAGAAATCCCTCCTCATCTTTTTTTAAACTAGACAATACTTACTCCGAGAACCAAAATTCTGCAGTGTTCTCTACTCTTGTATGATAAATACATGTCGTAATTAATTTATTATGTTGGAAAAAGATAAGCTGCTCTTTTGGAGCAACTGTCTTATTTTTAAATTCTGCTGCCTGGTTCAAGACTCGCTAACCAGGGGGAATGTTTTATCTGCATCAATCCTGCATATCCCTTCAAGTATTTTGTAGGCTTCAATGAGATCACCACGCATTAAAACTTGAAAATACAGGCCCAGTTTACCCAATCTTTCTTCATAGGACAGTCTTGCCGTCCCAGAAACCAGTCTGGTGAACCTTTGCTGAACTCCCTCGATTACTGTAATATCTTTCCTGAGGTAAGAACAAAGAACAGTAAGGCACAGGAACATGCCTTTCAGCCCACCAAGACTGTGTCATTCTAGACTAAAAACCCATAGCCTCTGCGTGGTCCACATCCCTCCATTCCATACCTATTCATGTAAATGTCAAAACTCGTCTTAAACGTTTCCAATGTATCCACCTTCATCACCACCTCTATTAGTGCCTCTCACATCTTTTTCAAACTTACCCCTTTTTATGTTAAATCTGTGGGCCTAGTGATTGATTGATTGACATTTCTATCCATGGAAAAAATACTTTCACCATCTATTCTTTCCATTTCTTTCATAATTTTGTAAACTGCTATCAGGTCGCCCCTCTTCCTGTGACATTTGAAGTGAAAACGAACCAAGTTTGTCCAATCTGAATCATAGCTAATATCCTCCAAACCAGGCAACATCTTGGTGAACTTTTCTGCACCCTCTTCAAAACCTCCACGTCGTTCTGGTAGTATGCTGACAAGAACTGTACATTATGTTCCAAATACAGCCTCATTAATGCTTTATATAGCTGCAACATGACTTGTCAATTTTTATAAAAACTGAAAGAACTGTGGATGTTGTAAATCAGGAACAAAAACAGAAGTTGCTGGAAAAGCTCAGCAGGTCTGGAAGCATCTCTGAAGAACAATCAGGGTTGACTTTTTGGGTCCTGTGACCAATTTTTATACTCTATGCCCCGATCATTGAAGGCAAGCATACCGTTCACCCTCTTGGCCACCTTACCCATTGGTTTTGCTGCTTTCGGCGAGCTGTGGACCTGTATACATAGATCCCTCTGTGAGTTGATGCTACTAAGGGTTCTGGCATTTACTGTATACTTCCCTCCTGCATTAATCTTCCAAAATGCATCACCTCTCATTTGTCTGGATTAAATGCCATCTGTCATTTGTCTGCCCAAGTCTCCAGCCTATCTATATCATGCTGTATCTTCTGGCAGTCCTCACTATCCACAAAGTTTGGCACTTGCAAAACTACTAATCAGACCATAGGTAGTTCTCCAATAACTAGTTGCATTCTTGTGTGACCTTGCGCTATAGAAAATTTGCCACTGAAAATCGCATTTAAAGGGAAATTGCTATAGAAAATCGCTATACCTGCATAGCAGAAAGTTCATGTTATCCAAACAGTGTGCACTATTCGTCAATCATGTTACAGCCAATTTGCATTGACGAAACACACATTGTAGCAGAACTACCTGTACCTACATTCTCCTTCACATCCTATATATTACAAACAACAGGGATCCCAGCAATAATCCCTGCATAACACCAATGGTCACAAATCTCCAGTATGATAAACATCACTGCTTTGCTATGGCTAAGCTAATTAAGTATCCATCTTACCAGCTCACCACAGATACCATATGACTTCACCCTTTGTATCAGCCTGCCATGAGGGACCTTGCTAAAGTCCACATAGATACCTACTGCCCTGCCCTCGTCAATCATCTTTGTCACTTCCTCAAAACTCAATCAGCTTTGTGAGACACTGTCTTTCCTGCACAAAGCCATGCTGTTGATTGCTAATAATCATCTCCATTGATTTCCCTGCCACTGAATGAGTCTCACTAGCCTATAATTGCCCAGATTATCCCTATTGCCCTGCTAAACAAAGGAACAATGTTGGCTGTTCTCCAGTCCTCTGGGACCTTTCTTGTGACTAACGATTTATGTTATTGCCCACTTCTGGTAGCAGGTGGGACTTGATACTGGGTCTCCTGTCCAGGGGTAGGACCACTACCACTGCAGCCCAACCCACATCCAGATCATGTAAGGAGACCAACTCTGCGCACAGTACTCCAGGTGTAATCTAACTTAACTCCTATACAATTGAAGCAAGACCTCATTACTTCAAAACTCCAATCCTCTTGCAATAAAGGCTAACATTCCATTAGCCTTCCGAGTGGCTTACTACACCTCCATGTTGACCTTCAGTGACTTGTTGGCAGGAAGACTTGAGATCCTTTTGCACATCACTTTCCAAACTTGCACCATTTAAATAGTCTGCACATCTGTCCCTTGACCTCATTTTCCCATAATGTATTTCATCTACCATGTTCTTGCCCACTCACTAAGCCTGCCAAATCCTTCTGAAACCACTTTACATCTTCCTGGCAACATACATTCCAGCTTTGCTTTGTATTCTCTGCTAATTTGGAAATGTTACATTTGGTGCCAACATCAAACTCATCAAAATTGTGAACAGTTGGGGGCCAAGTATTGATCCTTGCAGCACCCTACTAGTCAATCTGCTGACATGAGAATGATGGAGCAAATTACTGCAGATGCTGGAATCTGTACTGAAAACAACAAATGCTGGAGGTCACAGCGGGTCAGGCAGCATCCAACTCTCTAGAGTCATCTAGACTCCGTGTTAGATCTCCCTTTCTCCATCGATGCTGCCTGACCCACTGTGATCGCCAGCATTTGCTGTTGTCAGAACATGAGAATAATCCGTTTCTCCCAACTCTGTTTCCTGTCTACTTGCCAATCCTTAATCCATGTCATTACATTACCAGCTATCCCATGTGCTTTACTTTTACTAACCAACTTCCTGTGGAGGATCTTATCAAAAGCCTTCTGAAAATCCAAATATCTGTACTTCCATCAAGTCCACTTATCAATTGTTAGTTGTATCCTCAAAACTCCAATGTTTGTTCAAAAACACTCATCCATTCACAAATCCATGCTAAGCCTGATCAAATAACTTTTATCCCAGTGTTCACTTATTGTGTTTTCTGTAATAGATTTCTAGCATTTCACCTTTTACTGATGCAAAGATGACCAGGCTGGAGCAGCATTCCCTCTGATTCTCTTGCCAGCTGCGTTGGCTTACAGGACATATGCGACTTCTGGAACCTGAAGTCAATGCTGCAACAGGTGTGCTGTGCTGATCGACTGCACAGCTTAATGGGAACGTTGATCTGTAGCTCCCTGTTTTCTCTTTCACTCCTTTCTTAAATAGTGGGATGATATTTACGACCTTGCAATCTGAAAAAAATTATTCCAGAATCTATGGAATTCTGGAAGACGATCACCAATGCATTGAT